TCATCCAAAGGAATCGAGATCGATACTCGAGATATTTTTAGCTAAAGCGAGTTTTTGGGGTAGGCAGCCCAAAGGCCCCGTGTTGTGAACCCAGAATTTCCGGCCTCCTTGATCGTATATTTCCTATATGAGAAATGCAATAATAGTTACAATTACTCGTCACATTCCTCAATTAGTGTCTAAGCTTTGTCAACATAATTTACATTTTATACCATCCTCCCCTAAGGAAAATTAGTTTTCATTCCAAAAGTTCCAATTTTCGATTTTTTAAACGGTATCGGAATACCTAGATTCCAATTTTAAATTATGATTTTTTTTAATATTCCGACTTTTTTCGTTCTGAAAATTACACTTATAATGTCGATATTATTATCTATTATGTATTCTAAGTGAGCAAATTTTGAAATTATCGAATTCAGTTGATTCCGATTCGAAAATTTTCAATTTTGGAACAAATTTTCTCATTCCACTCTTGGAAATTCCAATTTTTATAACCGAATTGGTATTTGTTTTCCAATTTCGAAAAAAAAAAGGAATTTTTTCAGAACTACTAATTCCGATATGTCCGATTTCCACCCGTATTGGTTACAATCAATTCAAAGTTGAACTAATTAGAAAAAAGTTCCACATACTATGATCAATCATTATTACCTGAACGAGTAGCGTTTCTTGATATTTTTTTACCCATATAACTACAGTAGAACCTCGATAAATTAATAACCTCGCTTAGTTAATAATGTCTTCCGGTCCCGGCTCAGTAAAAACGCACTAAATTCTTAGTTCGATAATTAATATTTCGCTAAATTAATAGAATTTTTTTAGCACCGGCTGTATTAATTAATATTTATAGAGATTATTATTGTAAAACGGAAGATTAGAGATTAGTGAATCGACCTTAATAGCATTGTCGATTTCAGCCAATATCGAAGGAATCTTGTCGACAACTTGCAAATACGATAGCCCCTCCTTAGCAAATGAATCGGCAATGTCATTTTGTCCAATATCAATCATGTATAGAGCATCGTCGAATCTATCGTAACCTATCAAACCCTCGATACCTATACATACACGCATCACGAATGTATAGTATATTTATTCCGACCGCGATAGTAAAATTATATACATAGCAATATTTATTTCACAAAGGAAATTAATTAATAATGCAAGAAATTAAATGACCTGTGGACGAAAGTTGAGACGAACGATCCTTAAAGTGGATAAATTGCATGAGCTGTATATTCAACGCAAAGGGTACGTTTTTAGGTAAAGTGGCCGAGCCTGCAATTGCAAAGTTCGCCCCGTTTTCAAACGTCGAACCTATTGACTCCAAATATGGCCTCAAAACACTTGTGTTCACACTTTGGCCTGTAAATTAGTAACACCATAAGCAATTGCACAACCAGAAAATTTTGAATTTTATTTATGCGCGACAAAATAGACACTAAATTTTTGGTGGCTAACAATCTATTTAAATAAATATTTTCATTCATTTAAATATGGTACTTTTTTAATTTTCGTTATTTAATGTCATATAGAGGCAGAAAAAAAACTTCTGAGGCTCGTTCGCCCATCAATATTCATGTGCTTTTTGTATTAGTATAGTTCGTTCGACCCGATCGAAGAAATTCAAACCCTCAACTTTGGGGTGGAAAATGAGCTCAGCCGATTCGAAAAAAGCTCGAACTCGAACTCGAGATTTTCAAGCTCGTGTTCGAGTTTTTTTTTAGTTGTTCGTGAACTCACGAGCCTGCTCGCGACCCTTATTTTTATTTTTAATTTTTATATATTATTTTTTATTTATATAATATAATTAAATATAAAATATATAACAATAATAATAATACTAATAATAATAATAATAATAATAATAATAATAATAATAATAATAATATATAAAAAGAATATATAATATTAAAAAAAAATATAATTACAGTTCATTATTTATTTTATATTTATTTGTTATAATATAAATAATTATTAATACTAAAAATTTAATTTAAAAAAAAAAAAAAAAAAAAAAAACATAAATGAGCTTGGGCTCGAGCTTGAGGTCGTCAAAATCGGCTCAAGCTCGAGCAAAAAAAAGATACTTGGTGATCTCGAGCTCGACAAAATGGACTCGAGAAACAGTCGAGCTCGGCTCGTTGACACCCCTACCTCAACTTCTTCCACAAGAAGCTAAGAGAGATTATCTAATTTTGCAAAGGGCAATAATAACAAATAGACCGATTTTCGAACATAAGAGAATAATTTAAGTAACATATAGAGCACAAAAAATGAAGATAGAGTTTTTTTTGTTAATATATATTTAATATACGGATATATAATATAAATACCAAATTGAAATAAATGGTTTTGTGAACTGGAAAGCAATAATGTTACGAGAAAGTAGAAACACGCATGACCATAAAGAGGAAACCATTTTATATTATAGTGTAAATTACAAAAGAACCCCTGAACATAGGCTAAATTATGAAAAATGCTCCCACCTATGGGTAATTACCAAAACACCCCGATGTTTATTTCCCGTCTTACACCGACCTCCTCACCGTATAATTTTTTCACCGGAATCTTTTTTATTCTTGTGAGTATTACACGAAAATTGCAGAGGTCACATTTCTTTATGCTACTTATTGAAGACAAAAATTAACCTCATAGAGGTAACGGTAATACTAAAAATTTGTAACAATGTTATTTAAGAAGAATAAATACTCCGCGTAAAGGCTTCTCTAATGATAACTTTTATCTTTAAAAAGTAACATAAAGCTATGTCACGTCTACGGGGGTAAAATCGACATTTTTCAGGAATAATCCCTCGACTCAAAAAGATTATGTGAAAAATCCCACCATAAGGGAGTCGATGTAAAACTGAGACAAACATTAGGGGATTTTGGTAATTACAGATAGGTGGGATTTTTTGTAATTTAATCTAAGTTCATGGACTTTTTTCGAAATCTACCGTGTATACCATTTTGTATATACATAAAGCACAAAGCACAAAGCACATGCAAATGCAGTACAAGTAACATTCCAACTCATGTACCCAAAAAAGAACACTTATATTATATGGTCAATGATAATTTATTATTCTTAGGACCACATTAAATATTCCCAGTATCTTTCTCCCCATCCTTTTCTATATTTCAATGCCACAAACCTACTCTCTGTCACAAGAGATTAATTTCTTGATAGCTGACTAAAATGCCACTAATATATATATATATATATATATATATATATATATATATATATATATATATATATATATATATATATATATATATATATATATATATATATATATATATATATATATATATATATATATATATATATATATATATATATATATATATATATATATATATATATATATATATAATTTATTTATTTATATTTAATATTTTGCAAATGGACTGATTAAAAATACTTCAAGGTCTGTTCCATATATTTAGTTGATGTTAATATTTAGGGCAAATTACCCCTGAGGTAAACTTAAATTACGAAAAACCCCATTTTATTTGAATAATTATAACCATTTCTTAACTGTGTATTGTCTTACGAAAAAACACATCATTCAGTAAATAAATTTGACATCATAATGATAAATATGTAAAACAATAAATAGTTGATGGACAATTATAATTGTCCAAACATGATTTTTTTTTTTTTTTTTAATTTGAGCTTACCTTAGGGGTGCCCGTAAATTGTCATAATATTTAATTAATCAATCCTAGTAGTTTACTTAGTATTATCACAAAGGCCCATGAAATCATTTATTAATGAAATAAAAACCTTTTGGCCGAAAAGAATATAAAAAAATAAAAAATAAATAAATAAATAATGGATCAAGTCCACTATAATAATATTTCATATAGTGCAAATTGAAAAATGAATATAAAAAATCATGATTTACTAAAATATTTACTATCAAAATCAAACACAAATATTAGTATTCATGAATATATTTAATATTAATATATATGCTGTATATTTCATCCTTAGTTTTGGGACCCACAACACCCACAACAGAGTGGGGGTTCCAGCTGCTTGAAAATAAAATTTAGAATATATCTTTTATTTTTTAAATAATTATAATCATTCAAAATAATAAAATAAAAATAAAAAGAAAAAGAAAAAGAAAAAGAAAGAACGTACAGAGGAAATCGATGATGAGGCGTCCATCGGAGAGGCGACCGGTGGACCGGCCGAAAAAGGAACGGCCATTGGGGAACTTGACGGAGTAACCGAGTCCGGCAACGAGTCCGCCGGTGTCGGAGTTGGAATCGCCGAAGTTGAAGATGATCGGAGGGTTTTTGCAGTAAGAGAGAGCAAAAAGTGGGATGCAGAGGAAAATGGTGAAGAAGAATGTGAGAGGAGCAATTGTAAAGGAAGAAACTGAACTAGACATCGTCACCATCTGTACTCAGTAGACTCAGTTGACTCAGTTGACTCTGTACTCAGTACATTCGTTCACGGGTTTTTAGCTTTAGATTTGCTTCTGCTTTTAAATGGTTTTTTTTTTTTTTCCTTTTTAAATTATTTTAATAAAATTTAATTTTGTTTATTTTTGGAGGGATGCTGAATGTGACATGTGTTTTTTTTTTATACATAAGGGGTCCAGTTAGATTTTTTTTCTTTCTTTAGTGTGTTGGATTATTGTTACAAGTGATTTTCTTTGGTTAAACTACAAATTACCCACTTCAATTATGAATAGATTGCACTTTACAAATGACAACATCATAATATATTTGTTTCGGGTACCTATCGTTAGGGTTGGTATGGGTCGATTTTATTAGACAACCGATCCACTTTCGATCAGTTTCTCTTGGTAGATAATCAATAATTAAACGACTTATATAGTCGAAGCGATCATTTTAACCGACCCATATATAAATGGGTCAGTCGGTGGTTTTCAGTTGTTCAAAAGTCGGTTGACCGATATTATCCAATCAATCGAATTTTTTAATAATAAATTTTTATTATAGATATCTAATTGCAATAAAAAAAAATCAATAATTGGATAGCCTATAATACCAACCAACTGACCCATTTTATATCCGACGAAATTGGCTGCCAACAATGCGGGTCCATAAATTTCTTATAGGGTGGGTTTAAATTTTTGGACGTTCGTGGGCAGCGCCCCCGAATTTTTTGTAGGATTTTTTTGTGTCAAAATCAAAAAATTAGGAAAAAAAAGTTAGAGATTTTTTTGCATTCATTTAAATTGGGGTATTAATTAATAAAAATTAGGATATTTTTTGCATTAATTTGAACTTTGGAGTTAATTGGGAAGCTTTGGCGGCATTGAAGACAATCTCTATGGCCAACGACAACGGCTAGACTAATATAATACTCGAAGGTGATTCCATACAAGTTATCTCTATGGCCAAAGACAACGGCTAGACTGATATCATACTCGAAGGTGATTCCATATAAGTTATTAACGCTCTTTGCAATCGAAAATATATATCATTATCTTTCGGCGCGTTCGTGGAAGAATGCCTTACTATAGGGAATTCCTTTGTTTGCTGCTCTTTTTACTTTCGTTAAAAGATCGGGCAATATGTTAGCTCACTCTATTGCAAAACTTCCTTGTGTTGTCTCTTTGGAGCGTTATGACCTGCCGTTGGATTCAGAAATTTAAGTAAACTAATTTTATAGTAGAACTTCGATAAATATAATTAATACCTTATAAACTGATAATGTCGCTTAAATAATATTTTTTATTGGTCCCAACTCGGGAATAACATGTTAAATTAATAATTCGCTAAATTTGTAAGATAATACATTTTTTGAAATTCTAAAAGACCCCATCTAATATGTAAGTTAATAAATAACTCTTAAATTCTTAAAGACCCCATCCTATCACTCATTTATTTATTTACAAGAATTTAAACAATGTACATTAGTAGTGAATATGGTCACTTGTGATGAAAACCATCACTTCTACATAAAGTCTTGTACATTAGTAGTGTATCTTGTAAGTAATTCGACATATTTGTTCCATTTCGGATCCCAAAGGCAAAACTAACATGCAAAAACCTTACAACATTCATTTAAAACGTATTATATGTCCTTCCAATACTTATGGATCACAAATGTATAAAAATAATTCGAGCAATTCAAGTCATCAACATTATGGTATTCGTCATTGTTGGTAATTGTATAGACCGCGTAGATTGTACGCATTGACAAGAAATTATTATATTATGACGGTAACGTATACACAGTGCTTATGTATTGCATTAATCATACCCTTGTTATAATATCCTTTGGAGTCCAATATGACCATAGGAAACCCTCTCATCACTCATTTACGTGAAATGAGGCAACTTGAGAGTTGAGATGAAAAATCAATGTGCAAAAAACTTACAATATTCAAAATAGGTGTCACAACACCAAAAAAAGGTACACATTTAATAGCATCATCGCACGAGAAACCTAAACTATTTGTTCATGTAAAATATAGTCAACAACAGATTGTTCATGACATCGCAACCCAAAATCATCCAAAAAACAGATTGTTCATGATATCGAAATCCAAAAACATCAAAAAAAAACAGATTGTTCATGACAAAAACAGACAAAAATCAATTTCAAAATCCTTCAAAATATGCTCAAAGCATCAATATCTTCTGGCTCCCTATCCACTCTCTGGTGCTTTAAGAAGACAAGTGCTGGTTTTGGACAATTTGTTTTTGATTAAGCAAGTTTTCGCCTTTTCCCATGTCTCAGCATCATGCCTAGCATGGCAAATATGCCCACATGCAGACAAAAATGCCGGATTCCTATCTTGTTGTCTGCATCCTTCTTCCCATACGACATCCGAAGGTATCTCCAATGTGGTTTTAGTTTCAATCGCCCTGCTAGAATAACTGGTCTACAAAAATATACTATGATATTAGTATACATGTATTCTCATTCCCATATTGCAGCACCGTCAAATCACGATACCCAAACTATGAATTAATAAAACTTATACCACATTCCCCAAGATATAAATTAAAAAAGGAAACCATCGATTTAAGGACTTGTGATATAATTTGCAATTTCTGGGTTTGTCGGAGAATGCACTAGGGAGTTCCAATAGCGGAAAACTTTTTCATCAGGGTCCAATACAAGCAGGAAGGAACCAATGATCTTTTGGATTTATAGGTATCAGAACACATTTTTAGCTGTAGAGACGTACTATATCCAAGCTTCTCAACTGACATAGATCCAAAATATGTTAAGCTTTTGAATAAAGTACCCAACTATGTATCATCTTTTTGAAGTTCATTCGATCCCGCGCCGCTATCTTATGCTACGAGACATAATAAAAAAATATTAGATAAACAGTATACATAGAATGAAACATATTTATTAAACCCCTGCTCGTGCCTATGTCCATGCTCGTACAAGCGTCATCATCTGCAGATATATTACGATTATAAAGAAAAAGAAAATAATCAGCAAAAATACAATTGTAAAATAGTAACGATACTATGTAGTTAAAGTAATGCACTCGCCAATCTCAACACCATACAACCACATAAACTATACCATTATGCAATAAAATATATATTATTTACTTACATAAGAAGAAAGTCAATTACCTTGTTTTGATACCGTCTAACAACAATAGCTCTACCATTGTGTAATACGGCTTATATTATTTAAAAACATCTAACTTCCAAAATCAAACCCTTATTAGGACCAAAATGATTTGGAGAAATACTAATGTGCCAGACGAATGATACCCAAGAGTAAAAGTGTTCAAAATCATGCAATTCAACAGTAGGTGAACAACTTTTGCAAACATTCAAGAAAAAAACATATATTGGAATTTGTTCGATTTTTTTATATGAGAAAACCCCAATCTCACCGATGGATACTACCCACTACTGAAAATGTTCGAAATCATTTAATATGAAAACATGCAGTATGTTTTTTGCAAACCTAAACTAAAAAAATATCAATTTCCAGAATTTATTTTTTAAAATAAAAAGTAAACATTGTTTCTCCTTCCCCTTTTTTGCCCGCACCATTCTTCTTCTTCGAAAATGATCACTTTTCTTTCCTCTATTGCCTTAATGCTTTATGCCTCATTGTGGGCATTAATACAAGCAAAAAAAACTGAAAGATGGGAAGAACCACTTAGGAAGAACTGCTTAGAAACTGAAAGAAAATGATCCGAAAATTGAATGGCAACGAGTAGTTGAAAAGGCGTGGAGCGTTTCTCACAAACGGCGCGTGAAAAGTGTGTGAAAATGTGTGTCAGACATTTGCAGGTAATTTCAAATTACAGTGAAGTGTGTTTCGGACTTTGCACATAGAGCTAGGGAGTTACCTGCATGTTTATGTTTGCTTTAGGGACTGACAAACTTATGAAACATGGTTGCACTTTGGGATTTATCGGTACAATACCCCATAAGTATTTGCCCTTCGGGATGTGATAAATGTCGTTCGAACTTTAACAATACCGTTTCGACTTCAAATGTGAATTTGATCATTTTTTATTCCAAATTTTGCAAAACCCGAAAAAATAAAATTTGTAGTATTCTGAGTTAGTTTTCTAATCCAACTTGAATCACCAAAATTGGATGTCGGACAAGAAAGATATACATGAATCAATGGATATTGCCCACAACTTTGATGTATTGAAGTATCTAAAATTCAAAATGTGACTCATTCATGCATAATTTTATCACACGGGATCCAATCTAGCAGATTTGAGTTGGATTAGAAAGCTAACCAAAGGACTACAGTTTTCGTGTTTCAAATTTTGCCAAAATCAAAATAGAAATATGTCAAAATCAAATTCGAGGTCAAAACGACATTAGTAAAATTGAAACGACTTTTAACATTTCTAAAAACAAGCATTTTTGCTCAAAACCATATTAATAAGCACAAATCAAAATATAAGACCCCCAATTTGGACGTCAAATCCGCAGTATTCAATATCAGCATTTTTCTGTCTCAAGGGCGGTTAGATCTGCCCCTTCCTTTTCCTTCTTAAATCGCTCCCATATCTTCCGATTTCCATTACGTAAGTCCTTTTACATTTGATTATACATGTATGTATGTATGTTCAATTTATTTATTTGTGAATCGAATCTGCAGATCTGAACCGAAATTGAAATCCCATTTCGTGAATTTTGTGATTTCGCCGTGAATTATTTGGGGATATGTTTGCTTTTGTTTGATTTGATTGATCTGGTGCTGTGAGGATTTTTTATTTATTTGTTTTTTCTCTGTAAAAGATTAGATCAGCCTTCTGTTTAACGATTGTCTGTAGATACATTTTTCTTAAATGATTATAAATTTAATTACTTTGGCTGATTTTTAGTTTTTGTGCCATTAAGTATCTGTATATAATTTTTTAATAAATTTAACGAAATGTATATGATTTGAAATTAGAAAAATTTGTAATGTTCAAATGCTTGTAAGAGGTAAAAGAGGAAAATTGACGTGAAGGGCTGTGTTATTTAATTCGTAGCCGTAGTAAAACCCCGTTTGCAGTAACATAATGATTTGCATTATTTACGATTGCCTTCAAAATGTAGTCGGTATATATATATATATATATATATATATATATATATATATATATATATATATATATATATATATATATATATCCCATGAATTGTTTCTCTCCTTAGTTCAGTCTGTATTTTGCTGGTCGAGAGTAATTCTTTCGGAAAAAAAGATTACATTTTTTTAGCTTTCGATGTATTTTCAAACCTTATTTCGTAGAGTGTTGTCCGACTTTTCATTTTTGGAATAAAGTACAGTAATCATTGATATTATGACTCGACTATGTGAGAAAGAGCTTAGGTGTGTTTATTTATGTTTTTTATTTATGTTTGTAGTTGTAGCAGATAGAGAAAATGGGGTTGTCTTTCAGTAAGCTGTTCAGCAGATTGTTTGCAAAGAAAGAGATGCGAATTCTTATGGTAGGTCTCGATGCGGCTGGTAAGACCACTATATTATACAAACTCAAGCTCGGTGAAATCGTGACCACCATTCCTACAATTGGTAAGTTTTTCGTGTCTTTCCCGTTTTATTTGATTTGATTATTTTCTGCTCGTACGAAATTTATCTTTCCAAACTAATTGTGATCGTATCTGAGGATCAGTCGGCAATTTACCTGTCTTTGATGCTTTTTTTAGTCATGAAAGATATTTAACGCTTCATCTCTCTCTCTCTCTCTCTCTCTCTCTCTCTCTCTCTCTCTCATACACACACACACACACACACTGCAGGGTGAGGATGAGTGGAGCAACGGTAAGATGATGGAACACAAAGTACTGTAGAACCTCGATAAATTAATAACCTCGATTAAATAATAGTTTCTCTCAGTCCCGACTCGATGAAAACGTGTTAAATTATTAACTCGATAATTTGATAATTTGCTAAATTAATAGAATTTCCCTAGTCCCGGCTGTATTAATTTATAGAACTATAGTCATTTTGTGGCTTGCAGTTGTACCGCATTAATTTTGATTATAAAAACGGGAGCATGGTTTATGTTTGTGAACACCGTTTTCAGAAAAGAAAAGCGGACGCAGTTAATTAAGATGTATAGATTATGAAAAAAACACACGAGCATTTTAAACCCTTTTCTTTCTTTGGTTACCAAGTAGGACACTGGGAATTGCATTGTTTCTTATCAAGGGCAAAACAGTAATTTGACATTGTTGATTTCAATGGTTATTTCTCATCTCGTCTGTTGGTTCTCCGCACTTTCTTTGCTTTGTGATGTTTATTATGTTTTCCTCTTTTAATTATTTAAATAGATACAGTACCTCCTTACTGATTTTGGAGCTTCTCGTATTTCGTGCAGGATTCAACTGTGATCGTGTTATTCATGACGATACAGCAGCTGCCTGGCGTCTTGACTATTTTGTCCCTT